CAGAAAAGAATAACTTATTTTTAATTCAATTGACATACAGATAATTCCTAGAGTATACAATAAAGATGTCAAAACACATGCCACTGGAAAAAGAAAGTGAACAGTTTGTATGTGTTTTTGTTCATATAGTATGCTTTATTTGTCATTGCAATGTGATGGCAAGGTCCATAGTTGCTTTCTTTCACTTAATTTTTGCTCATATACCTGTTGCATCTTTGCATATTTAAGACATCATTTGTTAGAAGCTATGGTGTTTTCCAGAGGTAGAAGACAATGTTGCCTGTTTTTTCAAGATGAAATTCAGTTAACAATAGCTAGACACATTGAGCTGCAGAGAAAAGTTGATGTACTTTAAATTACTAATGTAATATTTTAGTTCCAATTTATATTATACTGTTGAGACAGAGAAATGGTGATATGCAGTGACCATCTTAGTACGTGCGAAGGGGTAGACATCCAGTTTGGACATTTTGATCTATGCGATGACATTTATATTTCAGACACAATTTTCTTAGGTTTGCATACATAAGTTATGTAAAACTTATGTGAAACATACTCAGGAATGCAACTACTATACGTCTGAGACCACTACAGCATTTTATTTGTCGTCGTGGTTATTCAATTATCCATATATTATAAAAGTGTCATACTCCCAATGAACACGTCTATCCTTTACAGAAGAGCACATTAGGTAACCTTTCACACAACACGTGGAACCTTTCCTGGAACATAACTCATTCATTCTATGACAATTTCAGTGTGAAACCTTTTCTGAATTAATTTGCGTTTACCTTGAGTAACTCGTATGTACAGAGTGTACAGCAGAATGACTTTCAACATCGGCACACAGAGGTGCGGCTGTCATGCAGTCGTGTCAAATACAGACACATCTGTATTTCCTGTTATCCCTTCAACTGAATGCAGTGTTGTTACTATGAGGTTGAGTTTAACTGCTACTCCTAATATTTTCAAAAAGTCTGCGTCTAGATAGGATGCAGTGTTGTGGCGGCAACCAGATAAAGCACATAAATTACAAAAAATGTTTCTAAAGGCACCATAGAGCTGTGGAAGCAATGAGGGATAAGCCCAAATTCCAGAGATGGGACAGTCCTTCTGAGGTAACTAATAATCACAGGCTATTTCTTTTCCTCTTGTAAGCATTTCCTGATTTGGGATGTGAGCTGAAGATTGGGCTTGGCCCAGGAAAGAGCCTTTGCTGGGGGAAAAAAATGAAAAGTTATAAGGGTCGTTTGAGGTTGAAGTGGCAGATGAGAAATGTGAGAAGCCTCAAACACACAGCTGGTTCTCTCCCATGGGGCTTTTGCTGAGGTTTTGGGCTGTGCTGGAGGTTGGGGAGCGAGGTGAAAAGCTTCTACAAGGAAGAGTGAAATTCCTGCAGTGCCTGTGGTACTTAGGAAAGAACCCACCAGAAAGAGGAGTAACTGCCTGAAATACAGTCGGCCTTGTCCTCAAGCCGTTGTCAAGATATGAAGCTGTAAAGGGCAGAAGGCTAAGAAGACTAGCCCTACCAAGGCATCAGATTTAAAAGCTTAGGAGAGTCATATCCAGAATATAAAGGCTAAGTAGAGGTAAACTGAGTCTTATTAAAAATGCATTCAGGCTCTGACCTAGCTCCATCTGTGCCTGGACTGAGGCGATTAGCCCCTCAAGCTATCAGAGGAAAGGAGAAACTCTGCTAGAAGGTAACATAACCTGGAGGCCCTATGGTTCTTCTAAACTTCATGTCTGGCATACGAAATGCACTTCTTAAATTACAGGTGAATGTAAGTCATGATACACGTTAGTGTGAATTTCCTATTTGTTAGAAATTGTTATCAACTTGTCCTAAGAGAACTCTGGGAAGAAAATGAGACTGTTTTCTGTCAAATTTCATAATGAACTACTACAATAGACTCCTAAACTAAGATTTTTTTTTTACAACATCCAGTGTGATCTTTTTAAAACAAGCAATTTCAATCTCTTATGAAAGGTTCATAAGGAGCTTCTCATAGCTCTTCAAATGAAAAATAAACTTGTGCCATCATTAGAGAGGTTTTTATGGTCTGGCCTACTTTCCAACCTTGTTTCATATACTCTCCTCCAACCCCGCCGCCTAACAATTTTCCAGTTACTGCCCGCCCCCACCCAAATATGCTAAGGTCTGAACGAGGACTTTTGCCTTTGCTGTTCTATGTAGCTCTTTTCGAATCTCCCTTCAGGTCCCCCAATAAGGTATAAAAAGAGCCCATGCCCTTTAGCAGTGTTTTCAAAAAGTTTTCGTATAAAAAGCTGGAGACAGAAAAGGTGGTTGAAAGGTGGTTTTGAAATGAAAAAAAAAAAAAAAAACTTACAAAAGGTATAGACTCTATATATCCAAAAATAGCCTAAAAAAAATCAATTTACAACTTCAAAGACACTAAAAGCCATACTTGTGATATTTATTAAGAAATTCATGATGGAATTGTTTAATTAAAAAAAAAATCCACTGAGCTCTGTTTACCATTTAAACTAGAAAACACATAGGTAAAAGACAAAAATTATGACTCAGAAATAACCACATATCATTTTTATATGTTTTTCCAGGATATTTTCAATGTACACATATATTTATAATATATTTTTATAAAAACATACTTTCATATTTTATAATTGTATTTAAAAAAATCACAATATAGTAAATACATCCCCACGTATCAATAAATATATAATTACATTTTAATTACTGCATTATATTCCACTTTATAGACGTAATTTTAGAAAACCAAAGCTGTCACCGGGAATTTAGGAATTTTCCAGTTTTTCACTACAGCATGAAACAGATGACCGTTGTTACTTATACATGCTTGAAGGAAGAGTTCTCTTCTAAAAGCTCAGAAACAAATTGCTAGGTTAAAGGTTATAATATTCTCACTTTGGACACATATTTCTTACCTATCACAAGGATCTGTATTAATTTATGCTCCCATCACTAGCCTAAAGAGGGACGCTGCACCCTCACCAATGCTGGGTCACCTCCCTCCTTTTAACACAATGTAGCAGCATGTGGACCCTGACCATACAAAAGAAATTATATAAGCTTGTGATGGGGAATGGGAGAGGGAGAATATTAATAAACAGTAAACTGCAGTTCTCTTCCTAGTTTCCTTCTGCGTGCCTGTCATGATGGAATATCTTGTTATGCCGGGTGAGACTCTAGTGCTTAGAAAAAAGAAATTTGATTTGATCCAATTTTTGCCTTACACAGTCACTTAAAACCCATCCCTTATTTTAAGTTAAGCTTCCACTGAAACACTAAGTAAAAAAATTAACTGAAAAACCTTAAATGTTTAAATGAATAGCTACTATGGGCTAAGTACTCGGAGTAAAATAGTGAACAATTTAGACAAAGTTCCCACCCTACCAAAGCTCCAGGCAATACTGTGACAGCGTGAAAGTGTTGTTAAAGCAATTACACGGTAATTCACCCTAAAGGATGACTAGGCCGGGTTGAGATCCAGAGAGTGATGAGACGCAGGAGCAAGGAAGGGGGCCTGAGAAGGCAGGTAGGAGTTTAAGCGTGAAAGGTCTTGTAAAAAGATTTTATCTCAAAGAAGGAAAAAACCAGGGGAGGATTTCAAAGTGAAATGTAATATAATCACATGAGTACTTTAGATGGATCCCCCTGAGAGCAGTGTGATGAACAGAGGAAAGGAAAGCAAGATGTAGCAAAAAGTACTGTTCACGGCAGTATTGGTAAAAGACATCTGGAGGGGAAAGAGACTGAAAACATGTTACATCCACATAAGCAAATTCTAAGCAGCTATTAAGAATGAAATAGAATACATACGACATGTACTACATGTACTGACATATGTTTAAAAAGATAATGAAAGGTATGACAATTTTTATAAAACGATATATTTGTATGTACGTAGAATCAAGTATGAGTGCACACTCATCTACATTGCTGTTTCCAAGGCAGTAGAATCTGAGGAAAGGCTTTCTCTTCTCTTGCGTAGAGCAGAGGCTGTTTACACTTTTCTCATATGCATGTATTAGTTTCATAATTAAAAACACCAACAGGAATAATAGAAGGATGCTGTGGTAGCTGCAAAGAAAAGAGTGGAACGAAGTAAGAGCTGAGGGAGGGAAAACAGTCACGAGGCTGCTGCAATGAAGTCAGGTGAGATGTGCTGGGTGAGACTGCCCGAGGCCACAGCGGCTGGCGTGCCAAGACTCCAGTGGGCCAGAACTGGTAGAGAAGTCCAACCCCAAGCAAGCAGAGCACAACTGCCCTTTCTGAATACCACTAAAATGATCTCACACAAGGACAAAGTCTACATTGAATACAAAACAGTTAACTCTACGTGTTTTTTTTTTTAACAAAATTATTGTATTGACTGCATTGGTATACTGCTTTTAAGAAAAGCAATAAGCTTATCTTTCCCATGTAAAAAGATGTCCAGGCATAAGCAGTGCGTGCTGGTCCAGCTATTTAAAGATGTCTTTGAAGAACCAGGATCTCTTTCTCCTACTCCATCCTTAGGCCATTGTTGTCATTCTCAAGGTCACAAGATGGCTCCTTCAACTCTAGGAATAAAAGATTCAAAGGGAAAAGAAAGGGGAATGCAGAAAGGCAAAGTGCAAAAACAGACAGGTCTGTCCCTAGTGATACCATTTTTGATTAATCAGGAATGAGAGATATGGCTACATTTGGCTGCAGGGAGGCTGAGAAGAGTTCTGTAAACAGACATTAGTACTGGGAGCTAAAATCGGGTCACCAGTAGGGAAGGATGAGCTTGTCTAATTGGCTACTAGCAAAATCTGCCACACGGCCAGAAATCAACTCAAGAAAATATCAATAAAGTACTATACAGTCCAGATACTTTGAACATAATGCAGTTAACTTAAAAATCAATACGAAACTGAAAACCTTACCTCACGTATTGCAAACACATAATTCTAAATAGGTATGGATCAAAAAGTCATAATATTAGACAACACTTAGAATCAAAACCAAATAAGGTGACAGACCAATGTTTTATATAGCCAAAGAAGTGTTTAAAGGACTATTTTTCAGCCGTAAGTGCATATTTTAGAGGACAGAAATAATGAGCTTGGGGTCTACCCTGATACAATGAAAATGGCAACTCCACATTGCCAACAATTACGGGGATTCTCTCCCAGTATGAATTCTCTTGTGTATCATAAGTGAAGAACTCTGACTGAAGGCTTTTCCACAGTGCGTACATACGTAGGGTTTCTCTCCAGTGTGAGTTCTCACATGTCTTTTAAGGGAAGAGGAAACACTGAAGGTTTTCCTACATTCTTTACATTCATAAGGTTTCTCTCCAGTGTGAGTTCTCACATGCATTCTAAGGGATGAGAGACCACTAAAAACTTTCCCACAGTCGTTGCATTCATAGAGATTTTCTCCAGTGTGTATTTTCTTGTGAACTTTAAGGTGAGAGCTTGTGTTGAAGGCTTTTCCACAGTCACTGCATTCATAGAGTTTCTCCCCAGTGTGAGTTCTCTTGTGCACTATAAGGTAAGAACTTGTGCCAAAAGACTTTCCACAATGATGACATTCATAAGGTTTCTCTCCAGTGTGAGTTCTCACATGAGCCTTGAGAGACGTTTTTTGACTGAAAGCTTTTCTGCATTGATGACATTCATAGGGTTTCTCACCAGTGTGAGTTCTTACATGTCTCCTCAGGGTTGAGGAATCACTGAAGACTTTCCCACATTCTTTACATTCATATTGTTTCTCACCCATGTGACTTCTCTCGTGCAAAATAAGATTAGAAATCCTTTTGAAGGCTTTTCCGCACTGATTACATTCATAATGTTTCTCTCCAGTAGGAGATTGTTCCTGTTGCTTCAGGGATGAATGACAGAAGATTTTGTTTTTATTACATTCACAGGAATTTCCTACCGTATGAAAATTGTTACGTATTGGAAGCATATTCTTTTTGAAGTATATACCATGTTTGGAGCATATGTACACTTTTTGTGCTGTTTGAATACTTTCAAGATGCCACAGCGCTCTATCATATTCATGATTTTCACAGAGCTTCTCGCTTACAGAGTTTTTCTCATAATTGTTTAAGATTGAATCGTGCTTCAAACTCTCAATATCTAAGTAACATTTATAACAATGTTTGCTGGTAGAAACTCTCTTCGAAAAAACAAGTTTTGATTTAAGTTTGGAGTTTTCCTCTAATTCATGACAGTCATAGACTCTGTCTTGATATGCTGTTTGCTTTTGGGTAAATGTAACTTGCCTCAAATTACCCTCTGGGATCTTGTGTTGTTTTCTGATCCTATGGCATTCCCAGTCTTCCTTTAATGTAGAAGACCAATCGTCCATTATGAATCTTACCATTTTCACCCCATTGGATGTTTCTTCCCCAAAAATATTCTGCTTAGTTGATTCTTTGGTTTTAATCTGAATCTCCCAGTCTGGATAGGTGTCTTGAGGAATTCTTTTCATAGTTCCTGTCTCTTGACCCAACAGGGAGATCACAGTAGGCTTGCATAACTGATATTCCACCGAGATGAGATTTATATAGTTTTCCAACATCACGTCTTTGTACATACTTCTCTGAGCGGAGCCCAGCATCATCCACTCTTCCTGAGTGAACTCCACGGCCACATCTTTAAAGGTTACCGGTCCCTGTAACCAGGTTACTGGAAATCCAGCCACCCTCATTTCTTCTCCAGTATTTCTCACACAGAAACAGGTAAAGTCTTGTGCAGTCAGAGGCCATACAGAAGATAGGTCAGTATCTGCCATCATGAGAATCTAAGAGTGGCATCCGCCTGCACATCAGTGTAGAGAGATCAGGATATTTCTTTTCTCTTCTTGTTTCTCTGATCCAGCCAGGGCAGGGGTGCATTTCACTGAGCATCATCCCTGCAGATAAAGAGGCAGGTTCAGATAAAAGAAGAAATGTGGAAATGACCCCAATGGAGTCAGGGTAAAAAAAAAAAAAAAAATTTTGTATACCCTCCTCCCTCTCGCTCAGCAAGATCTGACCAGCTTAAAATCTTTACTGGGACTTGTAATGACATGCAATATTGTCAGTTATTCTTGGCCACCATCTAGAACTGTTACCTTAGTTATTTATACTGGCTTCACCTGCAGATTATTTCTCAGCCCTGGGTGGAAGAAGCATGCATCATTAAAAAGAAATTAAAGCTAAAGAGAACCAGTCTAAAAAAGGTGTAGTTATTTAAATTTCGTGCATACTTTGCTATTTTTTAAGTTATATTTTTGGAATGACTAAATCTTCCTGCTAAACACAGCTGTTTTAGGCAAACTTGTTTTATATATAACTTGGTATTTACGTGATTGACTTCACATATGGTTAATAGGACTGGTGATTTGGCTGCTATCTTACTTAGGAATTTTAATGGAGTTGTTAAAGGTAGATCTGTGACTCTGAAACAAAAGTTCATTTGATTACCTCCAATTTAATCTCTCTCCCCAAAGTCAATACTTCCTTTTGATAAATTAGTTTACATAAAACTGGAATGGGATCAACAGAGAAGGATGAACTATGTTCAAGCTTTGGGAGTGAAGCCTTAACAATATTAGATGGCTTAGTTCTTTCCTGAATAATTTTTATAATGGTGTAATATAAAAAAACCACATAACACATACTGTGACTATAAAAGACGAATGCTTGAAGACTTTAAGGATCACAGTAAATCATGCAATATTTTATTATGCTAATATTTTTACAGGTCTCTTTTTGAAGATTAACTTTCAAATGCAAGCCTCCTATCTCAGCATTAGACTTCAATAGAGTTCAGTTTCAATGGACAAAATTATAGAATTCACATCTTAATTTAGACGGGTAGATCTTTGACAGGTAGGTTTTATGTCTCTATGGCAGCAATGTATATAACTGTTGCTTTAATGTAAATTACACAGAAATAGACTTGTCTGAAAGTATTATTGTAATATACTAAAAAGGGAAAAAGAAGTTTCTGAGAAACAGAAGATCCAACACAGAGATGAGATGAGGGCATGGATGAGGGTGAAGGGAGGTGCCAGTATGCCAGTGTGCCGCATGCCTAATGAATAATGATCGGTCTAGATTGTAGGAGGATGGAAGGCTCCTTGGGATATGTGTTCAGGAAAAGAGAAAAGTGATAAGATTGTATGACAGGTTTTTACCTTGAGGCAAAAGGAATCAAGAGGCACTTTACACAGGTTTAAGAAAACCAAAGCAAATGAATAAAAAAATGCAATGATTAAAAACAGAAAAAGTAAAATATGTACAAGAAAGAAACTTATTATGGTTCACAATAAAGACTATTTTACACAGCTATCATGGTAAAAAAACACTGAGCATAGATTTAGCCAAAATTTGCAAAAGAACTATAGTGTGATACTTGCAATGTAATTACATTGTGATTTAAGGATGTAGGAAAGGAAGGCAGGGTGTGGAAGTAAAAGTAAAAGTTTATTCTCATTTAACACAATAAGAAGTGGAAAAATGTCTCATTGGTGAATAAAAAAATACTGAAGACAGTTGAAAGCTAGAGCTGCTTAAAAATTTGAAAGTGGCTGCCACTGAGAATAAACAGGGGCCTCCTGTTTTATGAGCCTTTTAACATGTTAGACTTTTAAAAATGTATGTATTCATTTCTTGGAAAATAAGGAAATTACAGAGAAAATAATTAAGCAATCAAATCAAGAAGTAGAAAAATAGCAACAAAGTAAAAGAAAATTAAAAAACTGACAGCAAAAGTTACTCTAACAGAAAACCAAAATACAAAAACATTAAGACAAAACTAAAAGATTACAAAAACAGCCTAAATCTGTTTCTCTGAAAAGATTAAAGTAGATATATATACTGCAGGACAAATCAAGAAAATAAAGATGGCCCAGATAAATACTGGGCTCAAAAAACAGCCATAGTTACAGCAGTGATTTTAAAAATCACTATGAATGAATAGCATGAAGAACTTTATGTAAACAAACTTAAAGATTTGGATCAGATGAACAATTTTCTAGAAAAACCTGTGTCCAAAATTGACTCCATAAGAACTACAAAGCCTAAATCAATCAATTACCCTTTAAAAAAACATTGAATCAGAAGTAAAATATCTACCCCTAAAGATTTTGAGCCCAAAACTTTCAAAGGAAAAACTATTTTTCAGAATAGGAAACAAACAAAAAAAAGCTGTGCTTCCCAAATTATTGACATTTGAAAAGTCTTTTTAGAATATTACAAAGAAAGAAGACTGAAGTGCAGTCATAATTCGGAACACTGAAAAAGTTCTAAGTTAAATATTAAATTGAATATGGCAGTATATCAAAGTAATATTATCATATCACATTCAACATGGTTTAACCAGAAATGCAAGAATGGTAGAAAAGCGGAAATGTTACCATTACTATAATGTAATAGTATAATGCACATTCTTGCACCCATCACTCTATTTCGAAACGACCTGGAAGTGACATCATTTGTAAGTATTTCAGAATTTACCTCTGAACAGGAACCCTTCAAAAATCATAAGCAGGATTTTATCACACTACTAAATTAGCAATAATTCCTTAAAATCAAATATATAGGCAGTGTTCAAATTTTTGTTATCTCATAAACGCTTAATTTTCTTTTGACTTATGGTCCAAATAAGATTCATACAATTTTAAGTCTCTTTTAATCTAAAATTTGCCTTAGGGAAATTTTATTACCGTGATGCGATCCATTACTAGATTTAGACTTATATCTTTTGGAAAAGCCGTTGGATAAAGTAAGACGCGGACCCAGGACAGCCCTGCTCCCTTCCCCTACAGATCAGAGTCAAACTCGAGGCCCTGCTCCAGCCCTCTACGGACCACCAGCAGCTCCGGGCAGCGGGCAACGCCCCCCGCTCACCTGCTCACCACCCGCTTCCCGTCCCCCGGGGTACCGCGGAACCCCGGCCTCGGGGAAGGGCCTCGCCTGTGGCCGGCCCTCCCAGGAGCGCCTCCCCTCCACCCGGCTTCCCGTCTCCTCAGGCCCCTTTCCCCGGCGGCTGTCAGGGCAGGGCCCTCCCTGCACGCAGCGGAACTTAGATGACTGCTGCCCACCTACCCTCTCACTCGCCGCGTCTCCTCCATCGCGTTCACCTGTCCTCGGGGTACATGCCTCTCCGCATCGGAACTACCCGGCCTCCGCGAGAACCGAGAGCGAAGAAGCGATGAGCGGGCAGCGACGCCCTGAGCCGCGCATCAGGAGGAAGGCGGGGCTCGGAGCTCTCGCGCTCGGCGGACCCCGGAGTCGGGGGCCGGGACTACATTTCCCAGGAGGCCTCGCGCCGCTTCGCGTAGGGATTCTGGGCCCTACGTCACGGACGCCGTTCTCCGCGGAGGGGCCGCGGCGCGAGACGCGGAGAGTGCGCGAGGGGCTCGGAAGGTGCGTGAGTGGTCGAGCCGGGGGCGCGGCCGTGCGTGAGGGCCCGGGCGCGTGAGTGCGTGTGTGCGTGCGCGTGC